TCATCTAATGAGTTCTTAGACAACGTTTTCACAGTTCTGAAATGACTACTTGGCTCTGTTTTATAGATTTTAATTCTCTGTTGGAATTCTCCAATTTATCCTCCATTTTGTCCATCTTTTACATATTAAAAAAAATGTAATTCCTTGTCTGCTAATTCTAATATCTGGATCACTTGTTAGTTTTTTCTCTTGACTAAAGGACAAATCTTCCTTCCTCTTTTCATTTCCAGAATATTTTATTTAATGCTGGATATTGTGTATAAAGGAACTGCACAGGCTCCAGATGAAGGGTTTCCCTTGCATCTGCTAGGCAGACACAGTGAAGGTAGTCAGGGACTGAGCTGGGTCAGAGCTGGGTTGCAGAAGTCATAACGCATATTCAATTTCTGGCTCTTTTTCCTCAGGAATGGCCCTCTAGGCTTTCAGCTGAAAGCCTTGTGTATGTCTATGGCCTCTGTTCTTCAGAGTATTACACTGTGCTCTTGGGCCTTCCATCTCACTTCATATCCGAATATGGCAAATATCTTGAGGAGATATTTGTGTTTCAGGCAGGTCCCGCTCCTCAAGCAGAGCGCTGTCTCCCAGCTGCCTCAAGATCACAGCTAATGTCAGTGTACTGGATTGAGGCTCCTTAGACTTACTCTCAGCTCCGGAAATTTGGCATATGTGTGCTAGGTAAAAATAAACTTCAGGGCTCCTGAAGTTTCCAAATTGTTGCCAACCTCTCAAGACACCCAAGATCTTTGTTGGTTCATCTCTTCCTCTGGAGTTCCTTTATATGGGCCAATACCAATCCTCGGGTCGCTCCCCACACTGGCAAATAATCCCAGGGAAGAAACAGCTGATAATGGCTAGCTCACCTCAGAATTTTTAGTTTATTTAAACTGCTTTGGTTACATAGTTTGTCTATGTCTTTAAGATATATTTTCCCCATTTTTTCTGCCTTTTGTTTTGCAGTAGAAATGGCATTCTGCTATGACCTACTATATCCTAGTTAGAAACAGAAACCTCCAAGTCTGGGAGTGATTTCTTGATTCTGTTCCCTCCTTATTCGAGAGCATTTTATTTTCTCTTCAGTTACAATTTGAAGGCTGCATACTTTGTTATCCTTCATTTTTCTGTAGCCAGAGCAATGGTAGAGGCAGAAGTAGGGTTCACCTGAGAAAATGCGCAATTTGAAAAAAATGTCTGGGTTCTGCACTCTCTTCTAAGAGTTTATTACACACTAGAGGCCCGATGCACGAAATTCATGCAAGAGTAGGTCTTCCTTTCCCTGGCTGCCGGCACCGGCTTCCCTCCGGCACCCAGGACCCGGAGTTCCCTCCAGCCACAGGCAAGCACCTGGGGACGACCTGGGCTTCCCTTGCAGCCCCAGCTTTGTCTGGAAGGTCGTCTGGAAGGACGTCCAGTCTAATTAGCATATTACACTTTTATTATTATAGATTATATGTACTCTAAGAAGGTTTGCTACCCCTGCTCAGGGACTGTTTCTCATTCAAATAGAAGGAGATCATTTGCATCATTTCCCCAATTCAGTATGTCACAATAGAGTAAGTGTGTACTAGTAAGTCCCAGGGTTCCTTTTCCACATTTATCCACATTACATGCAGTTGCCATTTCTACTATTTCTCTGGCAAGAAAGGAAAAAAACACACAAAACAAACAAAGAAAAACAAGAACACACACATTTAGTTGGCTCCTCAGTTCTGGAAATATTATGATAATTCTCAGGATTTTGTCAACTCACTAATATATTTGAATACTAGAGTAGATTAAGTCATTAAGTCATGCTGTGCCTCTTCACTCTGAAATCTTCCATTTCTGTCCTTGGCCATCGTTCTTGAAGTCTATTATATCTAATTACATTATTCTATGTTGTTTGCTCTTGGTGAATATATTTGCTAGTTTTTACTATTCTGTACTCATTTTAAGTCTCATTTTAAGGGGAGGGAAATTCTATGAGTTGAACTAAATCCATTTTAATTTGAATATACAGTGAGTTTTCTAATACCCTAAAGGTTAAACCTGGATATTTGATTAAGAATTTCCTAACATCATGAGTATTGAACTGCCTGGCAGCTTACAAAGGTACCATTATAGCAGTCAATTTTTTTCACACTACCTAAGTCCAAATTTCCACTGTCTCGATTACTCCATGTTTTAAAGATCCAGTATTTTCCTGATCAGCTCACTTAAGTTATTAGGTCAGTTAATACTGATGATAATTCTGACATACATGTAAGAAAAAGGCCCATAAATATGACCTTTCAGTTGTGCCTGATGTTGAAAATACTGCTACATCAAGCTGGAAGGAATGAAACAAATTTATTTAGAGAGATATAAGGAGGTATCTCCTTGAAAAATTTTTTAGCGAAAAGGTATAGGGGATGGAGGGAGAAGGAGGTCCTAATATATGGTGACAGAAGAAGATTTGACTTTGGGTGGTGGTCACACAGTGCAATATACAGATCTTGTAACATAGAAAACCACACCTGCAACCTATATGTTCATGTTGACCAATGTCAACCCAATAAATTTAATTTTGTTTAAAAAAAAGTTTAAGGGTACTTGTATAAATTGCTTGGAAATGGGGAGAAAACATTCTCTACTGGTTCCTACCAAAACCATAAAGGTTCTGGAAGAAGCTTCCGATTTCCTTCATAGAAAAATTTGTTTGCCCATAATAGACAAGTTTCCTAATAAGCTACACTAAGACATAAGACTTGAAGACTTAAAATTAGTATATTAATAAATACTTTCCATAATGACTTTAATAGGATTTTATGTTCAGAGGAGTATCTATTACTATTTTTGAATGAGGAAACAAAAATATTAAAAAAGTTAATTTGCCCCATTATAATGACATGGATATTTCACAATCAAGTATCATCTACAACAGCCACATTCTAAGTTCTCTAATATTTTCTACCTTTGCAGTGAGTGCTCTTTCCAAGACAGTTTTTCAAGTGTAAATTATATATTCTTTCCATGACTAAAAAAAAAAAAAAATGTATGCCAAAAGAGCAAAAGTAACAGGATAATAAGGTAATTAGCTGTTAAACTACTTTTCCATAGTTACTCAGTAGTAAATATTAGCAACATTTTTTTATTATTCCAAATAAGTACTCTATCTGGCCATGGTTCAGCTGTACACCTGGCTAAACCAATTATTTTCACACTTTGCTTTTATAAAGAATACCGTACTATCAAATATAATCACAAACACCAATTCCCTCAATTCTCTATTGCCATTTAGATTCAGAGCTATGTAGACTAAGCCAGCTCCACTACTAAGTTACAAAAGCAATGTAATTATTATCTCATTAGCATTTAACCATGGCTTTGCACACTGGCATAGAATAATATATCATGGCAGTTATAAGATCTGGAATAAGGTTCTTTCTCAGGATTTTGGTCTCCTCGTTTGTAAATGAGACTGGATTAGACAATCTCTTTTCTACTCCCAAAATTTCCTAAATTTCTCTATAAATTAAATTTATCTATGCATTTTATAGTAATTAGTTGACTTACCAATTTCTATAAGAAAAAACTAACGCTTTTCATTTTTTCAGATATTTTCATTTTGACTTACTTCTAACAAAATATCTCAATGATCTTTAAATGAAAATATTAAAGTCTGTCAGTATCCATAGCAGGAAAAAAGTTAAAGAATTTATATGTTACATTTCTAATCAAGTCCAAAGAATAAATGTGTGTTTTTTTTTAATCCCATGCCGGCCCTAACTGGTTTGGCTCAGTGGATAGAGCGTCAGCCTGCGGACTCAAGGGTCCCAGGTTTGATTCCGGTCAAGGGCATGTACCTTGGTTGTGGGCACATCCCCAGTAGGGAGTGTGCAGGAGGCAACTGATCGATGTTTCTCTCTCATCGACGTTTCTAACTCTCTATCCCTCTCCCTTCCTCTCTGTAAAAAAAAAAAAAAAAAAAAAAAAAAAAAAAAAAAAAAAAAAAAAAAAAAAAAAAAAAAAAAAAAAAAAAAAAAAAAATCATAAAATCCCATGCCTTAACTACATTACTTACAGTTAATATAACAAAGAGTTGACAAATTTTATTCACAGAAACATTGTATAAAACTCAATGATGTATTTCACAAGTATTAGTTATTAGCAACTACTAATAATCAATGGAAATATAAGACATTAATATGTATAAATAAACTAAATGGGGTTGGGATATATAAATGAAATAGATGAAAACTAAAAGCTTTGCTAATTGGAACTAACTTTCTAAATGGGAATATAAAGAACATACAATTTAGAGTTCTCAAAGTTGTATCAAGATGAATAATTATTTGACAGTTTAAGGATAACAATAACTTTTACATGAAAAATTTGTTAAACAAATGAATGAATTCCCCACCATAGAAGATGACCTGGCACATAGTAGATATTCAATAAATGTATGTTGAATAAATGAATGAGTTAATATTGAGTCTCATTTTGAAAAATAAGACCAAAAAAAATTTTAAGCTCTTGAAAAACACATTATTGACTACTTATAGGTACAAATGTTTCAAATGAGAACAGGAAAACAAAATGGAAATATAAAGAACAGCTCTAGTCAATGAACCATGTCAAATGCTCTCTTTGTCAAAATCTACAATTAATTATATTCTGCCATTATGTCTTTAGACTGAAATCATGCAGCCTTAGGATTCAGTTTAAGATACAGAAATGTAAATGAGAAAACATATTCATTTATTTTCCCCTTCATTCACTGAGCAGATATTTCTTGAACACTCAGTGGTAACCGATACTTATTCCTTTCCTTTTTAGGTTCATGAAATGATTAAGTCAGAGACATATTAGCCAAGATTATATAAAAGAAATGTTTCTGTATGTAAATGGTCATAACTCATTTTCCACTTAATTCCTATTGTTCCATGCACAATGTATATTTATTATACCCAGTTCAATTTCATATATTTCTTTTAAAAATAAAACAATTTCTATCATTTTCACAACAATACATTAAATTGTACCTTAATTTTTTTCTCTTCCATTGACTTATGGATGCGTTCTCTTAGTGGTTTCACCAAAGAATTATTCACTTGTATGGGAGATCTATGTCCAAATAAAGCAAAATTTTATAAACCAAAAGAGCTTTCTAAAATCTAGTTTTCACCCTCTCCTACACAAAAGCAGTTACATAATAAAAGACTACTGAATCTATATAATACTATATAAAAATATCAGTATCCATATTCTGACAGTTCTAAATATTAATAATTTGCTTAATTAATTCAGTCACTAGATATTTGAGCTTCTACTATATGTAAGCCACTGTATAACATCCTGTGAATAGAAAGTTTATTCATTCATTGGCCCTGAATTCAGGACTCATGAAGTCTAAGTAAAAAAAACGACACCCACCTAACTAAAATTCAAAATGAAAAAGGCTAAGTGTCATAGCAGAGGAATTCAAAAGAGAAAAGCATAGTTTATAAGAAGAAGGGTTAGAGAAGGCACAATGGAGAAATAGATACTGGAGCTTTGGAGCCAGAGAAACCTGGATTCCCCAATAAGTTCCTGTTTGGCTCCACAGAGCCAGAGACATAACCCCTGTGACTCAAAAAACCATTATATAAAACTAAAGGATAGTTAATTCTAAGCAAGTCTAGTTTATAACCTTATATTGACTTTATATTTATACACATTGTCCTTAATTTTATCATTTCAATGGAGACCATTAAAAATTTACTTTACCATGGAGGGTACCTGTGCACACAAGGACAACAGCAGTGCCAAGGTAATTGCAAACAATTAAAATGTGTTTGGCCACATGACTGAATACAGAAAAATACCTCCCTAAAATGGATGTGGGATTAATATTGTTTTAAAATATTCTATTAACACAAAATAGTAAATGGTAGAATGAGAGAAAATTTAAATCATTTATATTTCTACCTAAAAAGTAAACCTTGTTAAACAGAGGTAAAAGGAGAAAAAAACAAAGATTCATTTTCTTTATACTCATTTCTGGAATTCTGACACAGGGTGAAAGCAAATCACTGATAAAATAAATTTCCACTGTTAGGAAAATATTTGGGCATTTCTAAGGTAGAATGTGAAAGAATTATATTATGCCCAATAGTAAAGAATAATCATGGGAAGCTGGTGAAGAAGACAACATTTAAAGGAATTATAGGACAAAACTGAAATATAGATCATTAACCTTTCTCTTCAAAGACAAAAGACAGTGAGGCACAAGAGAGAGATTGCATGAAGCAATCACACATGGATGTGTATGAACAATTTTAGACTAAAATTAGATTTCTAAAAAGTAGCTCAAGCAGAAAATAGAAAAGATCAAACAATGGGATGACGTAAAAATTCTCCACAATGCACTAAATACAATTTAAAATGGTTGTTCTAAAATTTTTAATGTTTTTATAAATGAACACGCATTAATTAAAAATATTATCAACTTACTGGATTTTGATCTAACTGTTGTCAAAACTGGATAGTATCAATGTCTTGCATGAAATACCAACACTAGTTTAGTATTTTTCTTCACAATGTGAGGAAGAAACAGTAAATGCCAACTCCAATGGGAGTTTGGTGCAATGCTCTCTCTTTTTCTCAGGCAGAATAGCACAGTCCTTAGAGCAGAGACCCCAGGCTTCAGAGAAAGACACGTTTGCTGCTTGCTAACTTAGCTCTCTTGGGCAAATTACTTAACATACCTCTCAAGCCTCTAATTCTTCACTTAAAAAGTGAGGATATTATTAAAAGAGGTTGCTATGAGGGCTGATATAACATAAATGAAAACATTTAGCAAAGTTCTTGACACACATAGCAAAGCAAATAAATATTTCCAAAGAAAAAAAACAAAAAATAAATAAATAAAAGAACACCTGGCATACTCTTACAAAATACACCTTTTTATATATAACTCACATTCAAGTGTTCAATTTCCTTTTAACTAACTTCAGTTTTCTCTAATCATACTTATCTATAATCTCCACATTTCCTACCATAGCATGCACTTGTTTTATAATCAATGAGGTGCTTTTTCAAAAACTCCTCAGAGTTAACATTCACATACATATAGCTTCCACATGACTTACCTGAAAAGTGTAAGAATAGAAGTGCCATTGTGATCAATGGTGTATTCATCGTCATATAAAAGCTCTGCTTTGTTTTTGGTAGGAACACTGGCTGCTTCTTCATCCAAAAGAACTAGTAAAAGTTTCACGGTATCTCTGCCACAGTATGCAGTGCCATGGTTTATGGCATAAGATTTTGGCTTGAACAAAAAATAATTTTAAGTAAACATTATAATCATCCCGGCTGGGTCAATCAGTCACTTTTCCATTTCATGCACCACGGTTCTCTTTCCTGCTCTGTTGTTTAATAAAAGATCATCCATAAGAAGTGGCTTTCAGGCATGAGAATATTTCTCCCTCAAGCCATACTAAAATCAATCTTATCAACTTCCAAAAGCACAAAAGAATACAAAAAATAGTATCATCAAAAAGGAAGACAATAGGTTCCGGTCAAAATAACGTTGGGCTTTTAAGTCAGAAAATTTAGCGTCTACCTTCCTATGCGACCTCCCTCAGGATTTAACTTCTCAGTATTTTTCTCTCTTATACCAAAGAGAGATGAGGTTCTGGTGATCTAAATACCAACCCCACAAATGGCTAGAAAGATCTACTGAAATGCAAAAATAAAAAACTATAGTTGATTCTCATTCATTCAGTAATCATTGATCAGTACATACTAAGACCCAAGCACTGTGTTTGAAGCTAAGACCACCAAGGTAAAAACCACTGCCACAAGGAACCCACATTCTCCTTAATAAAATAAGTAAGCAATAATTGCATTCACAGTGCTCAGTGCTATTTCTAACATAAGGTATACATGGTGCCTTGGGAGCACACAAAAGATAGTGATCAATTTACCCTGGAATCAAGAATGGCTTCATAGAGAAGGAGACACAAAGGCATAGGAGAGAGCAAGGTATTTTCAGGGACCGGGGAGTATGATATGGCTGAAGAATAGGATAATAGAGAGGGAGTTACATGACATGAGCCTAGAAAAGCTTTGTGTATCAGGCAAAGAGGTTATAAGTCAGTCTGTTAAAAATCTCTTAGTTTATTAAGCAAGGAAGTAAAACAATACTATTTAGATTTTAGAAAAATGATGGCAATGTGTAAAACATACTCCAGGGTAAGAATGTTATTAAATCTGAAGACAGAACAAATTAAGAGACTGTAATAATCCAGCTTAAAAGTGAAGAAGATAGTAGCAGTGGAGATTAAGAAAAAGCAGATTAAAAGAGGAGAGCTGGAAAAACTCAGTGACGAGATAGAAGAATAAGCAAAAATGTATGATAAAATATAATACATAAATACATGTAAACACAGACCCTGAAGGCATTTCTGTCTGCTTTGATAACAACTTACTAGTTGTATGTGCTGTGTAAGTCTGGGAAAGTTGCTGAACCTTAATGTGCTTCAGTTAAATCACTGGTAAAACACGGGTATTTAGAGTGCCTAACCAATAGGGTTGCTGGACATTATACCTCGATATCAAAGCTGCCCTTTCTGGGACACTCCTCAGCTTTCACCAACATGGTCTTGGCCTCCTTTCTCTACTTGGCTGACTCAGGCTCAGGTTCGGTGAACTATAATCCACACCCATACTGGAACTTTAACCAATTATCTATCAAAACCTAGTGCGTAACATATATATTTTTCATTAGCACCAGATAAGTCCATATTGTTTAATATTAACCTCACGGAGGAATTATTGAATCGCATTTTTCAAAGATTTCTGATTTGGTGAAAAACATACAATTAAGAACCAGGTTGTTTGCATTTTTATTTCTTGTGACTGGAAATGGGAGAGGTTGATGCTCTTAATTATCTGAGTTGTGACAATTCCTGATTTATACTGATAGTAATAACCTGGCTGTCATTTGAGCCAAGCCAGTCACAGGAACTGTTAATATACATGGGATATATGGAGAACAACTCAGAATCTCCCCCATCAAATTAATCTAAAAACATGCAGTTATTGAGAAATATCTAAAAATAGTCCCCAGGGGATGTGAATAAAATAAATAATAAAAAATAAGCAAAAGTCCTTCTTCATACACTAGCTGTCACAATCACAACTAATGAAAAGGGGCTTTTGTTACTTGAATAACTAAACTGTAACAAATGGATTTTAACACATACTCCAGAATTGTGTTTTAGAGCTAAAAGCAAGGTAGAAAATTTTTCCTATAATACCATAGTTATAATACTGCATAATGTTCAAAAATCTCTGTAAAAAAAAAAAAGAGAGAGAGAGAGGTGAATGTTCTAGGAATATATAGTTAAGAGATTTCTAAGTATAGGAGAAATTCTGAATGTTCACAGTACGCTGCAATGGAAGTAGAAAATAAGACATCACAGAAATAGGAAAATTCTGTAAAAGAAAAATAAACTACTGAATAGAAACCATTTTGTTGCTTTTCTATTAAGTGCCTAGTACTGAGGTCAGAGCCAGAGAAACCAAAGGGAAAATAATTGCTTTGAAGAATAATTATTAAAAAATATGACAGAACACCTTAGTATCCATCAAGAATTATAAATTGCTAGTGCTCCAAGGGATACTGAAGATTATCCAATGCCCTACTTTAACAAATACAGTCAATTTGGTCCAAAGATGTTAAGATTTACCCAACTCCAACATAATCCTACATAATCCTATTGAGAACTTAAATTGTCAACAACGTAACACAGGAAACACATTCTTCTGACTTAAGTAGCAATAGTAAACCACTTCTACAACAAATAGAAGAGGAGATGTTTTATATAGAAGGATAATAAAATATAAAAAGCTCATTACCCGTGCAGGACTGATGTCAGTGGTGCTAACAGCTAAGTCTCCTTGTTGAGAATTGAAAATATTTTTAATCCTCCAATCCAAATCCTGAGCAACCTCCTCTACTGCTTTACAAAAAGGATCCCTGTTGTTCTGGCCTTTAATCACCTGCATCTTTATCACGGAGAGTATCCGACTCCCTGCAATGCTGAAAATGGAAATAAGATTGCCTTTATAATAGTATTAGAAATGACAATGTGTGTATAAGCTTGACAATATAATTCTCAGAGTTAATCAACACTTTTCAAAGATTATGGATTTGTTCTTAAAAATCAAACAGGAACACATTTAAGAAAAGGATGAGAACCATTAGAAGCAAAATTACCAAGTAAGTCATTTCAACAAGGTAAGTTACTTCTTTCTTTATTTGAAAACTAAAGGGAAATAATTTAGTTATATATGATGACAGATTCAGATGCAGTTATATATACACAATATACTTAAAATATGTACCTTTCGACACAACTAAGGTAACAAAAGCTACCTTTCACTGAATACCTAGAATCCTACATCACTTTAATCTTAAAACCAATTCAGTAAGTATTATTACCCTTAAATCACAGATGAGAAAATGGTTAAGTAGCTTATTCAAGAATACGCACTGTTCTGGGCTAGGAAGGAGGTGGTGGGGAAGGAGACTGACCTGAAACACGTAATATTGCACTATAGTATGAGAAGAGTGATTACATGAAAGAGGAAAGCAAGCTAGTTAATACGGATCAAAAGCAAACCAGAGACTCAACCAACTACGGCCCACAGGTAAGGTTTTATAAAACCTCCTGAATCCAGGTTTCTTTATACTAAGCCTGAACCTGAGTAAATTTGGGTTGCAGTTCCTGCTCCAGATAACAGACCTAAAACCAATGTGGGAAATGTGTAGAGGGAAGGATTTGGGTCCATTACAAGAAAGAAATTACCAGTGTCAACAACAGAAGGGAGCTTTTTTTGAGGTCAGGAGATCTCCATCCCGGGTGGAAAGGCTGCACTGTGCCAGTTGAGAAGGGGGTGTGGTCTGAGTGTGGAGTCAGACTACCTGAGCACAAATCGTAGCTCCCTCACTTTCTATCTTGAGTAAGCTGTTTAATCTCTCCGTGAAGTTTATAGTGCCAGAAAGGAAATTAGGAATTAAAGTTTTCATCCTCACTGCCTCATTGCCAGACTTTATGTTTTAGGAACAAGCCAGGTTCCCTAACGATCATTGGAAATATAATTCTTCACATTTAAATAGATGGTCCAAGTAGAAAAGGGAAGTTAGAAAAAAACTGCAGAGACTTAATATGCAATAGTACATTAGACCAGTGTCTCCCAAATTTGCCTGATCATCTAAAGCAGCAGTTCTCAACCTGTGGGTCGAGTCCCCTTTGGGGGTCGAACGACACTTTCACAGGGGTTGCCTAAATACATCCTGCATATCAGATATTTACATTACAATTCATAGCAGTAGCAAAATTACAGTTATGAAGTAGCAACGAAAATAATTTTACGGTTGGGGGTCACCACAACATGAGGAACTGTATTAAAGGGTCGTGGCATTAGGAAGGTTGAGAACACTGATCTAAAGCAAACCAGAGACTGGACCAACTATGGCCAAAAACCTGAACTCAATTGTTTCTTTATACTAAGCCTGAACCTGAATAAATTTGGGTTGCAGTTCCCCCAAACCTCCAAGTACCACCCACTCTCCCCCCACCCAAAAAAAGGAAAAATATTCAGCATTAGTTTAAAAGATTAATTCCAGATCACACCCTCCAGAGAAGGACTTAAATAGTTGTATTATTGTAAAAGTACCACAGGTGATTCTTATGACTAGACAAGCTTGGGAAACATTTTATGAAAAAATTAGCTCCTTGAGAAAGGAACCGTATTATTTTTTATCCTCGCCCAAAGATTTTTATTGATTTTAGAGCGAGGGGGTGGGGGAGAGAAGGAGAAATATCCACGTGAGAAGGAAACATCGATCCATGCCCTTGACCAGAATCAAACCTGGGACCCTTCAATCTGCAGGCCGACTCTCTGTCCACTGAGCCAAACTGGCTAGGGCTCTTTGATGCTACTTTTTTTTAACATTTTCTATTTGGTGATGGTGTAAGAAATAAAATATGAAAGATTGGTATTTGTTTAATAACCTTGTGCCCAGAAACACTGTGATAAACTCTACTATTAATTTTAATCATTTTTCTTCTGATTCTTGGAGTTTTCTACATATATAATCATATCATCAATTAGAGTTTTACTTGTTCCTTTTCAATTGTTTTATCACCTTTTTCTTTTTCTTGCCTTACTATAGTGAAATGGGCACCTAATACTATGATAAAAAAAATTATGAGAGCAAGAACTCATTCTAAGTCTTAAATATAATGCTAAAATATTTTACCATCAAGTAGGTTTTCACAGAAACCCTTTATCAGGTTAAAACCCTTAGTCTTAATTCATTTTACACTGAAGGGGTAGCCGTGAAGGATGGGTATGTCCTAAGATGCTCCTCACCTTGGGAAGTCCTTCGACTTTGTCATCTGTCCGGCAGACATTGGTGGCTATAAGAACAGACTCCAAATCACCAAATTCAGCAAATAGTCTCAAAATAAATGCTGGCTTCCCTTTTTGACTTCCTTTCTGGCTTTCTTCCTTCCTCTAGTTTTTGTCTGCATTTTCATTGAAATTGCCTGCTCATCAATGTATTTGAGAAGCATTTAAAAAAATATGTTATCCAGCATTATTAATTACTGTGAAAGGAAGGGTCAATCAGCTGACCTAGTCTGCCATACAACCGTAATCAGTAGACTCTAGGAATTATTTTAAGCATGCAGGCACTTTCTTTTTCAGCTAATTTTTTCTTAATTTTCAATTAAAAGCACAGACATAACTGGATGAAATATAGCCAAAATGAATACACAATTAACATTATGTGCTTTTTCTGGGAATTAATCTCGAATGGAAACATTTTGGAAAAGATTCAAAAGGGTAATAAAATATGAAAGATTGTCTTAGTCAATTATAAGAACAACAACAAAAAAACATCACACCAAAAAACAAAGCTTTAAATATTAGGTAAAGCCACCTTTGCCTCCCTTTTCTCATTCTTTTCATAAGAACAAATATGCTAAATTTTAAAAATAATATAATTCACTGATTGTATTTTATTTAGAAAAAATATATATATATTAGACCTGTACTTAAGATACTTGTCAAAGTCATATTTTGACCCCTGGCAAAATACACCAAGCACCAGTGTCATGCCTAGTCTGTTGCTATGCATTCACTATGCACTAGCCAACCATTAACTCTTCAAATATCTGCTCAACAACACAGAGGATTATTATTTCAAACACTTACTTCTAAAGCCTAGAAACTCCTGAAGTTTTAACTCAAATGACATCAGGACAATTGTGTTAGGCACTAGAAATACAAAATGAATAAAACCTGTCTCTTTAAAAGGTCAAAATTGATCATACGATAGGAGATACTAAAGGAATAGAGAAAGTTTGAGTGAGAAGGGCAGAGAACAAGGAAGTATTCAGGAAGGCTTCCCAGAAGACACATTATGACTATGCTGGATAAACATTAATAGAATTTAGGTGAGAAAGGTAAACTGTAGCTCCTGACTACTAAATGCATCACATCAAAGCTCTGGAGCAGAAAGAGAAAAAAAATGAAGCTAGTGGAGAAAAACACATTAAACCCCAAGCTTGTATCAAAACATAGTGACTGAAGGAGAACAATAAGCAATAATAAAGACAAATGATTGGTAGGCAATACTTTAATGTAATTGCCAACTCTCTACCATAAAGAGTGATTGATTGGCTTTTCCTCACCATCTTCATGAATTTGGTAACTATTTACTAAAATAAATTATATCGCCAGCCCTGGCCAGGTGGCTTGGTTGGTTGAAGCATCATCCCATACACCACAAGGTTGAGGGTTGGATTCCCAGTCAGGGCACATACCTAGGTTGGAGGGGTTTCATCCAATCAGTGTTTCTCTCACATAGATGTTTCTCTCTTTCTTCCTTCCTCTCTCTCCAAAATCAATAAATACATATCCTCGGGTGAGATTTTTTAAAAATCTATAACAATCCTATATAATAAAAAGCTAATATGCAAATCGACCGAACGGCGGAATGACCGGTCACTATGACACGCACTGACCACCAGGGGGCAGATGCTCAATGCAGGAGCTGACCCCTGGTGGTCAGTGTGCTTCCACAGGGGGAGCACCGCACAGCCAGAAGCCGGGATCATGGCTGGTGAGCACAGCAGCGGAGGTGGGAGCCTCTCCCACCTACACGACAGAGCTAAGGGGAGCGGGCCTAAGCCATCAGTCAGACATCCCCCCCGGAGGCTCCCGGACTGCAAGAGGGCGCAGGCCGGGCTGAGGGGAACCCCTTCCCCTGCCCCAAGTGCACTAATTTCATGCACCGGGCCTCTAGTTAAATATAATCAAAGGTGCTACATAAAAATGTATCAAAATGCTTCCAAAATATATTTAAATGAAATTCTGAACTGGAAAATTTAAACCAGATTTAATATTCTATAAATGCATAACATTTAGTCCAATATATATATAACTCAGGTGTGCCATTGAAGATTTGTTGTGTAATAAACTTGAAATATAGAGTTTTAAACATTTGAACAACTATTTTAAACATTTGAACTATGAAACCTGAAACCTCTTTTTTTCAGGTGAAAGTACAGTATGCATTTTATGGTGGCACCTACTGGCAAAGGGCAGAAATGCAGCCAAACTATAGCCAAATGAAAATCTGGCAGTGGGGAGATAAGTGTGAGAATGGATTCTTGGATTTCTTCCCTGTCAGCCTATTTATTCCCCATCATGCTTTGGACTCAAAGATTATTGTGATTCCCTATCACCACCACCCTATTATAAGACAAGTAGTACAAACTTATCCTCAGTTACAAGAATTAAATACATTTTTATCTCTAAGTTTTAACATTGAGACACAGAGTGATATGCAGGCAGGAGTTAAAGTGCATAGAATTTATATACCATACTGAGGTTTCTGGAGTTTTATCCTCATTTGGAATCTTTAAAGGGTTTTAATCCTGGAAGTAGCATTTGCTGTTTCAGAAAGATCACTGGAAGCAGTGAGGACACCAGGATAGGGCAACTCAAGATTGGAGGCAGAATGAACAAGTCAGAAATAAGGGGAAAAATCCAGGCAAGAAAGAATGAAAATCTGAAAACGGACAGTATAAACAATGTAATTAAGGTAGTAGCTACAGAAAGAACATTAAAAAAATGTTAATTAAGAAGCATTGATGGATCTTGGTGACTGAAGGGATAGAGAAAGGAGAAAAAGGAGTTTAAGACAAGTTTCAGGTTTCTGCTTGGGTGACGGGAGGGAGAGAGGCTTCATCAAGTCAGGAGGAGAAGCAGGTGTTCAAGGAAAGATGAAGATTTAATCTGGAACATGTTAAATTTGACTTGCCTTTGAGGTAACAAACCCATATATAAATAAAGATATATTTTTGAATTTCAGGAAAGAGGTTTGAATTTCACTGAAATATAGATTTAGAATGGGGAAAAGAGAGAAAATGATCCAATTTGAGGACTCAAAAGAACAAAGATTACGATAACTTGAAGGATGAAGGAAGTGTGTGTGTGTGTGTGTGTGTGTGTGTGTGTGTGTGTGTGTGTGTGTGTGTGTCTGGTGGGAAGGAGTGCTGGGAAGTTGGTGAGTGGGTTGCAAATTCTTATCTTCCAGGATAGGAAGTTAATACATAACGTCTAAACTGAAAAATCAAAAATAGCTGCATTAAAATGTCATTTAAATTAGTAAATATAAAACAGACACACACACACACACACAAAAATTCGATGTTTACAAGTCTGTATTATCTGACTTTACTATAATATACATATATTGCTTTGCTTAAAATAAAATATTTTTTAAAATTATCTGCTAACTCAGAAGAAATGATCAGCCACACATTATCTGGGAGTTCAGATGATGTCACTGATATTGACTGCAAGTCATATCAAAAGCCTCTTCCAAATTTACTTCCTTGTAATGGATAGCCATATAAAAAGAGAAAAGGATGCAATTCAGAATAAAATCATAAAAAAACAATTCTTCCCAGAATTTTGAATTGGAAAGAAGTTTCCTGGAATAAGATATAGTGTTAAGGGAATGGTTCCAGAGTCAGACCTGGCTAAGTTCAGACCCCAGTTCGGCTAATTGATAACCATGTAATTAGGGTAAATTACTTAATCCCAGTGTTTCGGTTTTTTCCTCTCTAAATTGGGTACCTATATGGTATCTACCATGGAAAGTTGTTGTAATAATCAAATGATAATCCCCATAAAGAGCTCAGTACAATGTCTAACACATAATCAATATTCAATAAATACCAGCTATTTTTATTAGTACTATGCAATGGCATAACAACTAAATTGACAGTGAAGTACCACAATTGCTAGCATAAACAATTCACCTCTGCCTCACCCAAATTAATCTAAAAATTACACACCATCCAATTACACAGCATCGATCTATGAACATGGTTGGATTCCAAGTCAGGACATCTATAAATGAATCTTAAAGATTATAAACATAATCTCTCATTTCCAATATCACAAAAACAGAAATTTCAGATGAATCAAAAACTTATGCCAAAAAAAAACTAACAGAAAATAGAATAGATAATTCATATCTCTTCATAAATTTTCTTATTCATTCTTGATATGGGATTCCTTTATTGCTAAATTAAAAGTTGAGCCTGGCTGGCGTGGCTCAGTGGTTGAGCATCGATCTATGAACATGGTTGGATTCCAAGTCAGGGCACATGCCCAGGTTGTGAGCTCAATCCTCAGTGGGGGGCGTGCAGGAGGCAGCCAATCAATGATTCTCTCTCATCATTGATGTTTCTATCTCTCTCCCTCTCCCTTCCTTCTCTGAAATCAATAAAAAAAATTTTTTTAAAAAAAGAAATTTTGAAAAGTATTATCTATTAGGTTTTTTCCCAGGCCTCAAAAATCTGTTTCTTTCAGATAAAGACAAATGGTAAACACTCTTCTCTAAACAAATTTAATTTAAAGATGTCTTTTGACTTTGGCAAAAATTTTGTAATCATAGAGAAGCAAATTTTAGCGAGAAAGGTCACATGATTATATTTTATTCATCTAGATATTTATTCTTCTCCCTACTGTTTGGTCTGATGATTGACCATTTCAATAGCTCTTATATTTCTACCTCTGATTCTATGAAGTTTTAAAGATAGAGTAATAACACACATTAGTAATTTATTTAAAAAAATCATTACCTTGGATTTGCTATTTCTCCAAGAATCTCATCTAATTTGTCAATGAAATTAATAAAACTAGACAATCCTTTCACATGTGTCCTTAAAGGATCAGAAGGTGATGGTGCATATCCTTTCCCTCCAAGCTCCATTGATCTAATAAATGATGTGGCCACCTATGAATTAAAACAAGTGATTGTTATGTTTAATGATTAATAAGTTAAAACAGCAATTTACTTTATGAAGCTGAGTATATTTACATGATTCTAGTTATACAAATGAAGTGCTTTTGTGACTCATACCACACAGTGATTCAGAAGCAAGTAATCAAAGAAACAGGTGCCATGCAGAATTCATGCCAGCAAAGGTTAGGGGACAAATTAAGTATGTTCATAAGAGTATATCATTGATTATAAATAATTGGTTTATGAATATGTTGTTATATAGGCTGACTACTGGCTACTGGAATTGTTGCACAGGACAAAGGGGTTTTCAGTGTCCACTATGTTGATTGGGCAATTAATTCAACTCTCCCAAGTTATAACTTCTAGATATGTAAAATAAAGATTTAGACTAGATAATCACTCAGTCCCATCTAGTTTCATATCCTAGGATTATTTGATCATGCGTAGTTCAAAAGGCCTTGCCTTTACAATGATAAATATACACATATGATGACTAAACATAAAAGCATCCCTGCCAAAACAATATTCTAAAGCAGTATTTTCCAGAGTGTTCCCTTAGAAAGACAAATTCTATGAAATTTCAATAATCTGAGTAAAAGTCCCACAGTAAAATAACTTAGAAAACAACAGATTAAATAACAAGGTTAACTGGAAATTTCTTTATGGCAGGACTTCCCAAAGGTTTTTAAATACAAACATGAATTTATGTATATCCAATAAAGACATATACTATTTCCAAACGGTTTGCTCTTGGAAACGTTAATTCAAAAAGCATGTAACAGGGGCATTCTGCCTTTGGCTAGCACTCTAAAGAATACATGTAGGAAAACACTGTCTAGAGAAAATCTCCTTGCCAAATTGGAAAGATATGACAAAAACATAAAAACACTATGGATTTTCAAAAACACCTCAAGGTAGGACATAAAGTAACAATTTAAAAGTTATTTTATCACAGTTACAAGAATTCTACATCAAGGTACAGGGATCCACTGTTCAAAGAGTCTGTATTTTAAAAATCCTGAAAATGGAACATATCCATACCAAAAAGATAGACATCTGTTTCTCTCGAGCAGCATGTTTCAAATCAGTGAAGGCTTCTCTTCCAAGTCCTCTATCAGGAATATTGAGAATATGAGCCAGAGCCAGGTCATTCTTTGAATTCACTAGCAGATTCAAATATGAGTAGATAATTTTCTTTGCCAGTAACTTCGCCTACGCAATAAAATAGTATTTTCTTTATTGAAGTTGTTCTAAATCCATAAATTTTTTATATGTAGTAAAAATACTTACGATCATTCAATGACAATATCTCACTCAGATCTTTGGGAAAAAGAATTGCCAAATAAACCGAAAGTTTGGGTTGGACAATTAATATATCTTTGCTCATAAAAACAACTTGCTGCAATGAAAAGCTGTGAGTAAATACCAACTATCATAATTATTGGAAAATGGGTGTTAGAAAATAGTATATAAGATACAGCCCAAAAATCTGCATTTCTGATGAGACCTGATCTCATTCCCCCACATAGATTTGCCACTATACAATAGCCAATAATGAAGCCTCCTGTAGCCTAGGCCGTGGTCGGCAAACTGCGGCTCGCGAGCCACATGCGGCTCTTTGGCCCCTTGAGTGTGGCTCTTCCTAAGCCTTAGGAATACCCTAATTAAGTTAATAACAATGTACCTACCTATATAGTTTAAGTTTAAAAAATTTGGCTCTCAAAAGAAATTTCAATCATTGTACTGTTGATATTTGGCTCTGTTGACTAATGAGTTTGCCGACCACTGACCCAGATCAACAGAGGTGTAGAAGGTGAGGGGAATGTAAAATACGTAAGGAGAGTACTGATTTAGACAAAACCAAATAAGTATTAAAATGAAAAGATTCAACCAAATGCTAAGCAAATAATAACAAATAGTTGATGTCGATGTAAACTGGCCAAAACAAAGCTATAGAGTCTAGTACATTCAAGCACAAGATGCATAATATTTGAGAGCACTTGATATGGGCATCATTTCTTTCATATTTCTTCAGAATAGTTGATGTTGATGTAAACTGGCCAAAACAAAGCTATGGAGTCTAGTACATTCAAGCACAAGATGCACTTGATATGGGCATCATTTCTTTCATATTTCTTCACAGTCAAATGATAAAACAAGGCATAAAGAGAGTTAAAGAGGTAGCAATAAAAAATTACAAATTGTTAGGAAGTCTCTTAAATAATTATTACGGACGTCTCAAGTTCATATGCATCTTAAAAGTACTTTTAAAAATAGCACCCTTTTGAATTATTTAAATTTCATGTGAAAAACAATTCTTGAAACATGGGAGGCAGTCAGAGTCCATTTTTTAAAAACCTCATCAGACAGGATAAGATTACTTTAAATATGGACTTAAAATATAATTTAAGCAAAACTGATTTTTAAAAAATAAGGCTATTAACTCTATAAAACTTTTTTCTTAAATATTAAAGATACAGCACATTTATTACCTTTGAAGAGACATTCCCTAATTTCCCAAGATAAAGTAACCAGCCATTCACATATTCCCTTACCACCCTGTTATAATTCTGCATATCAGTCAATTATATAATTCTCTGCAAGATCTTAATACTTTCTGACACTTTATTTTCTTAATATTTCTACTACTTTATGAGGTCCATGAGAGCAAATGATGTATCCTTAAGGTACAAAAGAATGATTGGCATTATATTAGGAAATGAATGCATTTTTGTTAATAGGTTCTTAGTAAGTTTTTGTTCAATGATGAAAGAAAAATTATTACATGTATTTGGCCCTTTTAGATAATTCAAAATTGAAACTATGGATAAAAACGTCTGTGGAATCAAATAAGTGTTCATATGTTTTTATTGCATTGCCTTAAAAAGAAAAGTTCTTTGTAAGTTCAATTAAATTAAGATCATCTTTAAGATCTGTCATAAAGTTTTATAAACTAAGGCATAACAGTTTTCTGCTTATATTTCAAAGGGCCTTTTATCTTTACTTTCATAGAAAATCACAATACTTCATGCGAATCTATAATACAAAAATTTCTATTTTAACTTCACAGTGCAACAGTGTGTCTAAAATATATATCTTCTTTATCCCTTTGACATTGGGAAGAGGAACACAATTTGGCAAAAATCAAGGCAGAGAAAACAGTGATATTCACATTGTAGTCAGAAACTTTTTTACTTTTCCCACATTTAATTTTGTAAAACTACAATTTAGTTTCACTGTGTTTCTACTGTGCCAAAATAATGAGGATTTACCAGTATGTATATATCTAGTCCTCACTGGGTACAAATCCAGGTCTTAAATTGGCACATCTACAGCTTATTCTTTAAGTCTAGCAAATTTTGTCCTTCTGATGCTAGGCAAACATCAGGAGGAAACATCTTGGCGTCCTCACAGTTAGAGTGTTTCTTTTAACTCACAGATGTAATTAGAAATCTGTCCCTATCATTATGGTCAGATAACATGGCAGTTATGGTTTCCCTACTCTTATATTTGCAAGTGTGTTTTAAAGAGGCTCTCTGAAAAAGCACTCCACATAAATACAGTTATGATGTCCAGGAGCAAGGGCCTAAATTGAAAAAATCCACAAGATTGAAGCTTTTACCAAGACACTGAAAATCAAGATAAACTGATTCAATCCATACCACAAAGTATTTTTGCAATGCTTGTTTAGAAGTTGAACAATTTTAAGCTTTCAGAAAATTCCAAGTTCCTTTTCCCATCCCTTAATTATTACTGAAGTGCAGATATTCAATCTCAATTTGAAGTCAGTTTTTCTAAATTAAGAAGATTAACATTTATACAGGTATTTTTTACTTTCTTCGCCAACATATCACATTTAATGACACAAAAAATGTGGACTTAAGCTAATATACTGGTAAAAATGTTTAATTGATTACTTTTTGGGGGGCCTTTATTGTATTTTTCCCTCATTACTTCATAATTTCTAAAGCAATAGTTTAGTACCATAAGGAAAATAAAATGAAGTAAAATAAAAGAATGAAACAAAAACATTGTTTCTCAAATTCATTCCATTCATCTATTCGAGGACTCTTGTGTGGTATTAGTAAGCATATTTGGTGATAAAAATAAATCTTTGCAAGACTGCAGCCCAAAAAGTTACTTTGGAATTTTAAAAGAAATATGTTGCCTTCCAAAAATACTTTGTAAAAAGAAAAATTAGAAGTCTGCAAGGAACAGAAAAATGGCTTAGAGGATGGCTGCTACTTTAATAGTCTTCATAAAATCTAATCCATCAGCTAACTAGTAGATAAAATTCTCCTGGAAAATACAAGCCAAGGAGACAAAAAATATAAAGTAGAGGATTAATACAGGGTAACTATCATTGCTTTTTAAATGAGGAAACTATATGCTTATAACAAAGATCCATTGGTTTCTATAAACTAAGAGCCTTTTTCATGGGTATACCTTTAAGATAATGTTTTATATCTGTAAACCAAAACTCCTAGCTTAGGTCATTTTACATGTACAAATTAGTTCATTCCTTTTAATTAAAAGGCACAATAACAATTATTGTTTCCGCCCTGTAGAACTTGTAAGATAGATCAAAAAGAACACGTCTGTAACGATTTACCCTCTTGATGTATGAATGTACTCCATAAGTACCACTGAGAAAAAAACCAGGTAATTTAGTAAGTGTTTTGTCACAATTTAGGGCAGGAGAAAAAAACAAGCAGGATGTAAGTGAAACATTAATGTCAAGCAAGAGAAAATAGTTACAAATTACTAAAAGGAATCACAACTCTTAGCAGAAAACATTCAAAGGTGGACTTGGGATATTTTCTTGTACCAAAAAGGGTAAGTGCTCAAGAGTTTAAAAGAGCATGTAAAAAAATACAGAAGGCAGCTTGAAGGGGATCTCTCTACTTTTGCATCAAAGATTAATGACTCTAATTAATTTTAACTCCAAATAAATAAAATTCCATGAGTCCTTAGAATATAGACACAAATAAAAAAGTAGGAAGATACATAGAAAAAATATCTAATTTGCCTCCTATACTACCTGTAACTATTACACCAACTCTTAAACTGGTAATTAAAGAGAAAGAATTAAGTAGTGACCCTATCATTTTTAGGGAACTGAACTTCAACCCAGTTGATAAGATAAAGTTCTTCTTTATTGAGAAATGGCAGCTAATTAATGTAAAGACATGATAGAGTAAGAAACTCACCATTCTATAAATTCTAAAGAAATAATTGACTTAGACAAGACTGGACAATTCAAGACAACTGGAGTTTGCATCTCCTGATATGATACAAAATGAAATATTCAGCATCAGTTATAAAGTATTTGTTAAGAAATGTTAAACCTCAATCTAAGATAGCTTTTAGGTGTAACTTCCAGTTTATTGGAAATAGAGAAACAAGTAAAATAATACCAGTAGGAGTTAATCAGATAAATAAGAAGTAAAAAAAAAAGACTGGGGGAATTCTTCTAGGTTAAGAGTATAAAAAAACACAGAGGACAAATAGAGAAATGAGAATAGAGAAGATAGCATATTATATTAGGGAATACTTAAGTTTTCTTACATAGGATAATAATATCCCCTTATTTGACTGGGGGATTCTTCTAGGTTAAGAGTATAAAAAAACATAAAACCCACTTAGGGGACAAATAGAGAAATGAGAATAGAGAAGATAGCATATTATATTAGGGAATACTTAAGTTTTCTTACATATGATAATAATATTGTGGTTATCCCCTTATTTTCAGGAAATAATATGCTGAAGACATTTAGGTTCTAAGTATCAGGATATCAGCAACTTACCTTTCATATAGTTAAGTTGGGCCAAGGTAACAGGTTTAATTATATTAAACCAAACCTGTACTTTGCACTACTTTCCTGTGATGTTTTTGCATAACAAACCCTGCTATCGGAACTCATGATGCATCAGTTATTCTACTGCAAAGGGTGCAGAACAGATTTTCCCAAGAAGCAACAATACTGTTTCCGAACAAAACAGTAATGTGAAGTTTACCAAATACAGTCAGCTCTCAGTGGCCACAGGTTCCACATCTGTGGATTCAACCAACCACAGATGGAAAATAGTTGAAATTTTTAAAAGGTTATATTGTTGCTGACATGTACTATGAGGCCTATGATGACTGCATCTGCACTGAATGTATACGGATTTTTTTCTTGTCTTTCTTCCCTAAACAACACAGTATAACAACTATTTACATAGCATTTACATTGTATTGGGGATTAAAAGTAATCTGGAGATGACTTAAAGTATATAGGAGGATGTGTGTGGGTTATCTGCAAATACTACATACATTATTTTATATAAGAGACTTAAGCATCTGTGGATTTTGGTGTCCAAGGGGAGTCCTGGAACCAATCCCCCACAGTGACCAAGAGACACCATATAAAGATTCAAAGAAATCTGGCAATCTGGATCTTCAACCATTTTTCTGATACTTAGAGTGATACCTATTTTTGTACAGTGCCTGTTACATTGGCCCAAAACCATGAAATAACTTATTGTTATGATCTCACCAGTCTTCAATGTATTACTCTTTGTGAACAGTATTATGTAAACAAAATAAAACTTTAAAAAAAAATAGTAACTGTATGTATAGTCAAATTCATAGTGATTTGAAGGGGATCATATCCTGCTTTAATTTACTCACAATTTATCAGTACCTTTTCATTATCCTGTTTGTGTTTACTCATTGGCGATGTCGGTACAGAAAGACCAGTTTCATCATCTACTGTGGACTGTCTGCCACACAGAAAATCCCGTAGTTGACTCTGTAGGAAATACAGGACATTACTAATAAAATGATATGCCAACTATAAAAAAAATTTCACACCTAGGACTACCCAGTGTCACTGATGTTCTAGTATACAGCATTTTACCTAACCTTTGTTGGCAGTCAACAATATGTAGACATGGAATTACACTTCTGAACAAAAGGCTTCCATTACTTTCCAGTTTAGAGTTAAAAGATGACCTTGGAAATTTAATCTTAGTCTTTTATTTTTTATGGAAAAAAATTAAAAAGAAAGAAAAGTCTTGTTTCTCTCTTTCCCTTTCTTTCTCTCTCTCAAATCAATCAATCAATCAAAAGAAATCATGCATTTGGGACTGATTTCTTCATTAAAATTTTTCTTCTGTAATAAGAAGCTATTCTTACATTTAAACCAAATAATAATAACCCAAGTTCAACAAAGTTTACCACCAAAACCTTTCTTCCAAGTAATGACTAGCTAACTTTCAGGTAGCAAAAGTCTCCATTTTTAACATGATCCAAAAAGCAAAAGCATTATCAAGTTACTATAAATGCTAATACCAGAATTAAAAATAAACCTTGTCAAATTTTAATTTGATTAGTCTAGAATTGCTTAAAAATACTTACGGGAGATATGTTGGCATTATTTTCACCATTAGAAGTCAAAGCACTACATTTTTTATAAACATCAATCAGATCTAACATATTACTATTTTTTAAGAAATTTTCGTAAGTCTTCCTAATGTCCTCATAATGGTCAATCACTTCCATATTTTCAACTGGTAAGTTCAATTTCTCCTGTAGTAAGCGTTTCCAGGTCAATAAGACATCGCTGAGAGAAACTGTAAATTCTCCACTGTGCTGAAAAAGATAATGTCAAAAATAAAAAGATAAAGTCGGTTGAATTTTGTATTAAATTCTTGTGAAATTGAAGAGAACATACAAGTTGACTTATGAAATCATTTTAAAACCAGATATTAAAAAAAAGATTTTTATGACTTTATAAAATATGAACTATGGGAAATTATCACATGACAAAACTGGCAAATATAAAGACATTTTCTATTACCTGAACTTCACTAAATTTCTACTCAAAGTGGGGCGATAGGAGGGCAGTGAACTGTAGCTAAGTACTATTGATTAGGGAAATATTCGATTCTGTTAATATTTGTTCCTATTCATTCTTTTAGCTAATATATTTTTAATCTCTTATTTAAAAACTATCAGTGTCATAGTGAATTCCCACATACCACATATACCACACACTATTCCAAGAATTAATCTTAAAATATGATCAGAAAAATTAAATTCTTAAAAACTGTGTTTCATTTCATTATTCTTGTAGAGAAAACAAAACACCAGTGCTAAAACTTTGGGTCAAAGGAGGATTTTTATTCTTCCCTATTCAGGGACACACTAAACTATAGGCAAATGAGTCAGGTTTCTTTCTCTAAGCTGTCAGATGTTACTTATTAAGCAAAATTGTTCAAAATTGGGCATATTAAAGGGTTTTTTTTTCCAATTGATTGCATTCTGCTCCCCCTTTATACCCCCAGTATTAATAACGGTGTCCTCCACAAAATACCAACTCCAATTCAGTAAAAAAATTCTAACTGCTCCTCTTCAATGCTTCATGAATAAGAAATATTTATAAGCATCCCTATGTGGTTTTGTGAAATGTATCAATGTTGCTGTCTTCTACAGTTAAGCTCCATTAATATATTAGTAGTTTCTGCTAACAACTAGATCTTTCCATTAATTGCATGTTAAGATGGGTGGATATTTAAATAGAACTATAATTTACTGGAACTAAACTGTAACATCATATTTAGCCAATGAAGAATAACAGAAAGAAATCAAATAGAATCATATGATGTAGTACTATGTCTAAATATCTGACTCTTTCAAATATCTATCTTTATATGTTTTATAAAAATCAGTCACATTTTCCAATTACTATCCTAAAAATTTAAGACAAAGTGTACAACCTGCCTTAAAATAATTAACTGTCTACTCATCCATATGAAAGCAATTAAGAAAATCATCCTTATTGTCCTTAGAGTAGGGACCTGTTATATCATAGTTATGAAAATTAATTATATTTCATGAAATTAGTTCCATGAACAAACAAAAAGATCAACTCTCAAACCATAGATCCATAATCCAAACATCGAATCAAAAATTGTATACTTTACTCCCCAACCCTACAAAGGTTATATATTATTAAATCTCCAAATGGTATTTAAGTTAAATAAATCCATTTACTTAGTTTAAAACTAAATTGTTTTATCTTAAAAATTCTTAAAACTATTTTGGCATAACGTCCTTCATGATAAAAATAAAGTTTTTGCTTTAATATAAATATATAATTTATTCTCATTCTGTTGACTGTAACAAAAGGAAAACTCTGCAAACTCTTGATCTTCTGAGAAAAGGCTCTGACTAGATTAAGTGTTTATACTGAGATTGTAAAAACATTTTAAATCCAAATAAAATTGCACTCCAGATATCAGTTTTCAGGATCAGGTGCCCACCATGACAGGATATTCTATTTTTCAAACTAGTAACAACTGATTGAGAGAGAGTCTGTGGTCAAATCAGAAAATGTTTTGCTAGGAAAACATGCCAATTGGCTACTATTTGAAGGAAGTTCAAAATGTTCAATGCTTTGATGGACAACCGAAGGATTATATTTCACAAGAATAAAATGAGAAAAAGCAAGAGTTACACTTTTTCAGAGCACTTGTACTTTGTATATTTTATCAAAGTTATTTATTATTCAAAATTTTAAATAAATTTCACATTTTTAACTAGCTGGAATTCTTATTATCTAAAGAGTAAAGATAGCAGGTCTACTTAAGAGCATTAATTGGTGCCCAGCCGGCATGGTGGCTCAGTGGTTGAGCATTGACCTATGAAAGAGGAGGTCATGGTTCGATTCCCGGTCAGGGCACATGTGCAGGTTGCAGACTTGATCCCCAGTTGGGGGCACACAGTAGGCAGCCGATCAATGATTCTCTCTCATCATTTATGTTTCTATCTCTCCCTCCCACTCCCTTCCTTGCTGTGTGAACTTGGGTAAGATATCGAAATCCCTCTGAGTCAATTTCCTTGGTTATAAAATGAGATTGTATGGATTAAATAACACCTTATAAATGGTAGGTAATCAAAAATGGCAGTTGCCCTTCTCTTTTTATCAAGTAAAATAACTGTCAGTTTGTTTGCTGGAGGAGGAATGGTAGATAATTATAATTCAACTAGAGGCCCAGTGCACAAAACATGCACTTGGGGGGGGGCGGTGTCCCTCAGCCCAGCCTGCTCCCTCTTGAAGTCTGGAAGTCCTCGGGGAGTGGGCCTAAGCCAGCAGTAGGACATCCTTAGCACTGCTGCAGAGGCAGGAGAGCTCCCACCACTGCCACTGAGCTTGCCAGCTGTGAGCCTGGCTTCTGGCTGAGCAGCGCTCCCCCTGTGGGAGCACACTGACCACCAGGGGGCAGCTCCTGCGTTGAGTGTCTGCCTCTTAGTAGTCAGTGCATATCATAGCAACTAGTCGACCACTCGACTATCTGCCCCCTGGTGGTCAGTGCAGGTCATAGAGAGCAGTTGAGCGGCCTTAGCATATCATTAGCATATTACTATGCTATTGATTGGTTGAACGGACAACCGGATGACTGGACACTTATTATATAGGATTTTAAATTCTGTTTCTTCTTGTTATGTCTCTGTTAGGTCATTTTCAAATCTGTCAGTCAACCACAGGTGCTGTGGTGGCTTTCCAAGAGGTTATAAGTTAATATCTTTGTCTGTTTCATTCAATAAAACATTTGTAATGTTCTTAAGGCTTTTTAAGGTGAAAAACAGCCTTTATAATGTAATTGCATGACAGCGTCAAACTATGAGGCCAATTCCAAAGACAGTAAAGGCTAAAATATTATTTGCAACCTAATGAAGTCATATATATTTGTCACATAATGAAGTCAATAGTGAATGAATCTAAAACAGGTAAATCATTAGCAGTATAAAACTACTAGAGAGGTATTACATGATTTAAGCTAAAAAAATCTTGCTCCTCTAAAAACATGTCAAAAACCTAACACTCAAAGATTATTTTAATATACCTTTTCTTTTTCCCCACTAAAGCCGTTAAGAAAACAAACATGCCAATCGACAGACTAACAATTCTGCTAGGTATTCAAAAGTTTTACTGCAGTCAAATTCAGTTTTAAGGATTATACTTTAGGGACTCAAATTTCAGAGAATTAAAAACCATAAGTAGACCACAAACACCGGGTGAAAAATAGTTGAAGGATATATACAACCAACTCCACCCTGTTATTACTGTATGCTACTTATGAATGCACCTGCAGGCATATGTGTGTGTTGTTTCATTCTGGGTGCCTTGGAAGTCTGAGCACAGTGAGGAATGCCTAAGCTAAGTCTGTACATAGAGAGTTAAAGTAAAACAGAACTGCAACCACCATCTCCACACGTATGCATACCTACACAAACTGTGAAAAACTCAGTTGCAATTCACCACTCACCCTTTTCCCACCCAGAGTCTGAACTTTCACAGGTAATAAAGTGAATTAGCAAGTAGAACATTAGCAACTAGGAAAAAAACCCCAAGTGAATGCTACACAGACAAGTCCTGAAGAAACACTGACTTGGACTGGATATTTTAATATGTCCAAATTTTTACAATGAGAACTAAAATTTTTTCAGACTGCATTTTATTTAACTTGTTGATATATCTATTTCTCAATTATTTATACACAAACAAACAAACAATAGGAGGTGATTTGAACATGCTCTGTATGCTCTGTTTGATTCCAGAACAACAGTTCTCAATCACTAAATAGCAATTCCTAATAATTGTCTCAATTTCTCTCTCTCCTCATTTCCCAGTGTATGGTCACCAAGGTTTAACCGTTCCATGTGTACAATATCCTCAGAATCTATTATCCA